CTATGTACATCCCCGATTCTCTACTACCCTACATCGTTTAGGTAACAGTAAACAATGAGTGTTACGACATCATAATCGTATAGGGCTAAACGCGCTTTAATGGTGCCTGTCGGATTCACCTATCTCCTTTTTTTTGTTTCAATCGTAAGCCTTTTGAGAAGCCGAACCATTTGAATTTTTAGCCTTGAAAATTCCGACATTTTTTTCAGAGTAAATCGCTTACACTTCCACACTGAACTGTGTAATAGTTATGTGGCCCTTAATCTTCTACTACTAACCTAAGATATTTTTAGAGACAAAGATAGATTTGTGGTGACGCTGATGTACGATCTAGGCTCGAAATAGGCCCACTACAGAATCATAATCGCTGGATCTCAAGCCACATTTCCAAGTGGCGGCTGGATACAAAATCCCTTGACTCAGATTCCGTGAAACATATTGACGTATGCCGACCTACTGCTACATTTCTTCAACAGTTCGCCGTATCATGATATTACTTACACGCTAAAGTTTATGATTATATTAACATGGGGATATTACTTGCTTAAATACTGTAAAAAAAAAAAAAACTGCTGGATCTAAGAGCGTTTCAACATCATTACGATTTGTCGAACCTTTGACAAACCTAGTCGGGTTTGCAAACTAAATCAACGTCGTGTTGCTTTGCAACCTAGGTCCTAATACAGGTTGCATAGTGAAACACTAATAAATAGTATCTCTAACCCTTTACAATATAGTTTAGGTAGCGGAAGCTGTATATCATAATAAAGACTGTCGCTTAATTTATTTGAAATGCTATATTCTTTTTCTCCGAACACAGAGATCTATAAAATGCTCCAAGTGCATTACTATGTTACGAAAAATCACAGTCGATAATTCTACATTATATTAGAATGTAAATTGTCTATCGTGATTTGTTGGCTCGCAACATTGTCGATAAGGATTGGACAGAAATGATATTAATGCCCAATAGCACAATGAAGGAAAAACCCCCCGTATAGATAGGTCTCTCCTTAAACAGGTAATTACTTTTAACAAGATGGCGTGTACACACTCAACGCACAGAGCAAAACGTTGAAACATCCCGTGTGTCTAACAAGCTATTTTTTTTATAGAACACTAACTATTTATTTGTATCTAGCCTAAGATTTGGGAGACGTCCGCTTTCGCGTCCGTTACCTAAGGCGTCAGAGCATTGTAATAACTCAAGTAGGGTAAGCGCAGAAGCTTGAGCGGCTGTAGTTAGAAAAATATGCTCCGAATTGCTTTTTTTTTTTTGTTTAATTGTCCTTGTAATGCTAACGTATACACTATAGTACCATTTCATTTAAGAGAACATCCTATATTAAAGGAAAGACCTGTGACATTGGCTTTTTCCTCGTAACGCAAATAAAGACGATGCAAGTTAGATCTACCCATGTAGCACAAGCAGCATCCCCCGACCGTAAGGCTTCTCTAACAGATAGCACCTAGCCCGGCAGGAGGAGCATTGTTTTAGAATAGTTTTCTGTTATTGCGGGAAAAATAAAAAAGGGAAACACGATCACCGTTCGGAGGCCTCAGTATGCGTATCCAGTGAGCGGTCAGGAATCGTTACTGGTCCAAACGTCATGAGTCCTTCAAAGCTGAGAGGTTTCAGTTTTTGTCTGCAGTCGACGGCGTTGACGTTGTTCAATTTTTCGATTTGAACGAATTTGCAGGAACTTCATTTGTTTTAATCATGAAAATCGGATGGCAAAATCTAACCTTCAGCCAGCTTCCTCCGCATTTTGTCACATATTAGCTCTAAATAAAAGCAGAGAGCTTTGCAAATTGAACGGGCTCGTGGAGTAGCGCACCGCGTATCTAACCTCTATAACTTATTCACTCCAGGCTAAAAAAACTAAATAATAACCGACAGGAACAGTAGCTTATAATAAAATCAAATAACAACAACAACAGCAGCAGCAACTAATAAGTCAGCGTCGTTGCCCAAGGCAGTTTCTATTCTGCAGGAACCTTGATGGTTGCCAGAATGATGCAAAGTTTTGCCCCGTCATATCCTGAAAAGCTTTATTTGGGCTTCGTCGGCTTCCCACTTATTAACAACCGCGTGCGGAATTGCGTATGGAACAGCAACTTTGGGCAAGAGCGATCCTGTTAGCTGCGCTGTACCTAATTGAACGAAGTAATGAGCGAAGTAATTGGCGTCACATGCTGAGGGACGCCATAACTTGAGAAGTACCGGCATAGTATTTTGAGCCGAATTTCGGCTGGAACAACGTTTATATATCGTGAATAAAATTGGTAAATAGGAGAGGGATGAGAATAGAGTCCTAAGGTACACTTGAAGGGCCTGTTTCTCGAGAAGTGTTTTAATCGACTATATGATCTACTTTTACTTTGGTCAACTTCACAGTTATAATATCGTAATTGTCATAGTCGAAAGACGCTGGCAAGGGTGCCTTATCGTTGTTTTGAGTACCGTTATTACCGATACAACAATTCTCGGTAATAACTAAGACCAAAGAAACACCACAAAAACACTTTTCAAACTTTGCGAAATCATGCAGGCGTCTGTATGAAGGCGGCGATGACGAAACAGAACAAAAAAATTGAAAAAACTAGTCAGTTTTTATAGTATAGTCGTACTATATTTATGTTTTTTTGTGCGCATTTTCCAACATATAAATTGATCAAGTGTTGTTTGCAGATGTTAATTACTTACCTACTGTGATTTGTCGTAAGTAAATGCGTCTTGATGTTTAATTCTGGATTGTCATGGTAGCTCTCCAGAATATTTACTTTTAGAGACGAACGCCCATTTATATTGCAAGTTTCTGCAAACTCTGAAATTTTACGTCAAAAGGTTTCAAGCACATTATTTCAACGTAAGGATATTCAAAATTTGACTCCTGAGAATATCATTTTAGCTCAAAAATGAAAATGAAATGGCCCACAAATTTAATTTGGATTCAAAATTCTTTATACTTCATTACCCTACCTTGACCTTAAAATAGGATGTATTCCGAAAGAAGGACCTGAAATTTTTTTAAGTACTAACTGTAGCCCGGACGATAGGATACCTCATTCAGAATAAAATTATTTGTGTTTTAATTATTTGCAATTTAATTGTTAGCTAAAACAATATGGAAGAGATAAACGGTTGCTTAGAATTTACAACGGGACGATCTGTACGGTTAACGGCTGGATACCAATGTTTCTTCATGAATCAGATAAAAATCTTCCTGGAAATACCAAACGCAGAGGCTATCGAAATGCTAGCTGGAGGGTCCAAACGCTTCGTAATGTAAAACTTATAATGTTTACAATGCTGGAAACAATGATTGTTGGCATTGAATAGGACGGATAGTGCTAATTATAGGAAAATCAAGTAAGTGTTCCATTGAAGTTTTTTTAAATGTGCTTTTTTTCACGACTCTTTAGGATCTGTTTATTTTATTGTTCTTCTTGTTCACTCCCGTGTTCAGCTAAAAAGTCGAGTTGAGTAAGCACGACATCTCATGAGATTTTTTAAGAGAACAAATCTTAGTCAAGTTAGTACGGATGTAAAGTCTAACGAATTGCTGGCAGGTAAATAGCTTGAAAGCGACAAAAAATCTTTAGACGTCAGAGTTATTGCTGCACGACGGAAACAACAAACTGCCATTGCGAGCCTGTAGCAATAGTGCGCTACTTAACTCGGAAATTACGATACGAAAACCACTCTGTGCAGCCTTGATCTAGAGGCAATGACAGAGGTACGAAGAGTGTCAACAACTTACCTGTTATGTCCAAGCGCCCCTTACCTTTGGTCGAAAGCGTCGTTATCGTGAAGTTTTACTTGCGATAAGTTTTATCTAAAGTTCCCCAGTTCAGCGAAGAAATCAAAGGGCCCGGCGTCGGGTTTTGGTTTTTACTGGACGGATTAATGAGGTGGTTAGAATCGATTAATCTTTCGATCAGATCATGTCCTACCTCTAGTGACTTTGTTTGCTCTAATGGACATGATCGCCATTTAATCGAGGTTATTATATGGCAAACCCTGGTCACTTCGCCAATAATTGCCATCTTAAATTTTTTCATCAAGAAGTCAATTGTCGGATTGACTGTTGAGAACCAGCTTACCTTTAGGGGCATACAAGCATAGTAGATCGCTAAAAGCGACAATGCAATCATCCAATTACGTTTGCATTATCTAGCACATAAATAAATTTGCATTATCAGAATGAGTTCTTCTATAATTCTGACTAGGGTAGAACATGGTAGCAATTCAGGTAAGGCAGGCTAAACCAATTTTTCTTGGGATTTAAGGACTGTACGCCACGCCGGGTAGGAATTGAAGGCGTGATTCGTGGAAAACGTACGTCAGACAACCCGCCCAATGATCTTCTGCCAAACAGAGTGTTTCGACAGTAACAGAAACAGAAACCTTAAGTAAACAAAGTCTAGCCCGAAGCAAGTATCTCTTGTTTAAAAAAGACCGTTTCCGCTGCAGAGTCCAAGTCACCTATTTCTGGTCTTAGTCAGCCTAGAAACTCTGTCGCCCACAACCGACTTGTGTAATAGGTTTACCCAGGTTAGGATCGATGCTGTTTCATTTTTTCAGATCCTACTGAGCCCTATTGGACACAGTAGGTTTTTACATTTCCCCTGCCTCAGCATCGATCTCAATAGGTGTACTGTTAAAAAAAAAGTTAGCTTCCATTTTTGTCTGAGTTCGCCCGTGTACATACCTAGTTGAAGCTAAGCCATTTACAAAACACTGAATACTGTTCTGATCTCAGAGTTAGCTTACATTCAAAAAAACGAACGATGATCGATGATCAGCAATGCTAATCTATTGAACTGTCTTGAATAGACGGCGCAGTTGGTATGGAACTACCCAATAGAAGGTTAACCCACTTCTAATTCACGTATCAGAGGCCGTCACGGGGGTCAGCTCGTTGGGCCAGGCCGGATTAAAATTATAAAAACGTAATTTACCAAAGGATGTTGAGAATTTTATTTTTGTCGTTGCGTCCTGGCATTGAATCCCGTTACACAAGGGTATCGTATGCTTTTAAGCAAAATGAATTCACTCAACTACTTCTGCTACAGTTTGAAACTTCATCTGTTTAACGAGGCATGCTAGTAATAAAGATTGATATGTTACGGTTCCTTGGTAGCTTTGCGTTAGTGTCATCGTATCGTAAATACTGATCCTAGCGTTTTTTTTTGCTTTCAGCAACAGAGCTCTACACAGTAATAGGCGAATAAGATATTTTATGTATTTCTTATTGCTTTTATTAATCGTTGATAGGAGCGAGCTTTTAGGAACTTTCCTCGTGAAGATCTCGGTCAAAAGTTTCCTTTACTGAGAGCGCTGCTAAACTTCCAATGAGGCATAATAACACGATCATTACAGATGGAACCCATTGATAAGTGGCTTGCCCCTGCAATGCGTAAGTTTAGCTTATTGATCTACTTATCCAATGGAACGGTGGATGTCACATATGCGGAGGGCAAAATCTATCAATCGGCATTTTATGCACAGGAAAATAGATAGAGAGCCTTTAAACACGTAAGGATGCATGATATGATGTCATCAATCAGCCAGATTAGATGCTGTTCAATCTATAGTAAATTTTATGCCTAGAGAGGTATTGGGCATTGTTTGCAATCGCACGTCTCGTAACATTTTACCAGCCATATTTTAAGCTAACCTTATGAGCTTTGTAATTTTCAGTAGCTGCTCAGCTGCACATATTACGCACCGTGATAGCTCGTTGTTTTTTTTTTGGCCAAACAACGTCAGCTTTGCAATAGTCTCTAGAGGCTAATTAGAGGTGTGCTTGTGTGCAAATCGAGCCCATTTATTCTACAAGTAATACTTTGCAACGTCAAAATAGAAACCAGAGAGTGCATTTTTTTGGACGTTGCCGGCTAGGGTCACGATTAGAAGAAAATACTTGCAAGGTAATCTATGAAGGGACTAAGGAGACCAGCCAGATTAGCACACGTGTAGACGAAGCCAGCGATTAAAGATCGCAAGCCGCTGGGATAAAGCTCGGCTAGATGCACCCTTTGAACAGATCCATGAACGTCCATACAAAGTCGACATATCACTAAGCTTGCGAACCGCGCAAACCAGAAACCTGTTAACGAATAAGCATACGCAGTTACCGTTTTTAAACTAATGCAACTTCTAATATATAAGTTCGCATGTTTATAGGTGTCGCTGTCAACATGAGGTATGGTCATCGACCGTTCTTAATACTACAACGACATTGTGCAGCTTCAAGCCAATACACATGTCGTATCTAAGGTTAAGAAGGATCCAAATAGAGTACATGCAACCGCAGTAACTGTTGGATGCCAGCTCAACGGTTGCAGGGCACAGGAGCAGATCCGCATAGCACATGATCACTGAATATTCGTCCGATAAACACCGTATCGTCTACGTCCGTGTGTAGCTTCATTATTTCGAATAACACACGTATATTCGCTACGAAATCACTTTAACCATTGTAATGCGTTGCTGTTTACTGTCGGTTTTCCGCAGACCAGGTCATATGTAGCTTCCCTGGGATAGGGCGTACCATTAGAGAAGATATAGTAGACGCTCATTGCTCCCGCTGTAATTGTAAAAGCTGAGGCCGCCGCTATCCGTCTAGGAGTTGTCCGCACGACGATCGTGTCCAGTACTCGGTTGGGAAGCTCGCAGAGGGAAGTTAAAGCAAAACTCAGGAACGGGTTAAGTCCCACAGTGACCGATGACACCGTCAGGTGATACCAGAGAACATACACAACCATTCTGGATTGGTGTCGTAGTACCGAAAAACGGAAATGTACATTTATTAGTCATCTACTATATCCTCTGCCTGGTAAGACCAGCGCGGTTAGCACCGCTACTTATAATTATTCCAAAATAGATTCAGTTAAATCTTGTCATTTTTTTAATGACACAGGCCATGCTTACTTGGTGCATGAATCCTGCAGAATGTAACAACGTGATGTTTATGGTGCTCAGAGGTGCTGTTAACAAAAGGCCCACCTACTATACGAAAACATCGAGCCTTGGCTATGAACTCGCCAAAAATTAAAAAGAAAAAGTGAATCTGCAAAAGTAGTTCCTCTGTTACTTACAAGACGATCTGGCTGAGTATATTCCTTGTGAGATAGATGGTAAAGCATTTGTCAAAAAAAAAATAGTGTATATTGAAAGCTTGCTCTACTTCACAAAGCTCGAAATTTTGGGTGCTTTATGTTCCCAGATCAGAAAACACACTGAGAGCAAACGTGAATTGTAGGATTAATTTTTCGGCTATGGTTTTTACGAATGGTAGGTGAAGGCTAGCCTCCCATTGCGATACTTGCGTTGCGTACTTGGAGTAGCAGAAGACAACGGTTGAACGCCAAAATTGTTCGCCAAATAGTTTAACAATAGTCCCTTTACTTTTGTGAGGTATCTGAAATTATTTAGTGTAGTACCAAGGTATTTTGGACTTAGATTGAAGGAAGCAAATATTGAAAATGAAAGTATATAGTAGCCATTTATATATAGGCATATTTTCGATCTGTTACAAACATAACAGATCTAGAAGTGTCACTTGTACCGTTTGCAAAACATCACATATGCTGTATGAAATAGAAAAGCTAAAGCTACTTGTATGACCAGTGCTCAATTTTTTTGTAGTTTCGTTAACTAAAAAATTACCAATAATTTCTTTTCGCTATATATATATAGTTCCTCCTCGTGGCCATATAAAATATTTACAAATGCTTTCGCAAACCTGCTTCTTTTTTTCTACGAGAACTTACCATGGCATTCCGCGTTTTAATGTCGTCGATAAAATTATTAATATCATCTACTGTGATGTCGTCGGTGACGGAAAACCGATTTTTCTGCCGGCTACGAAGGACTTTAATTAAAGTCCTATGAGCTTGTGTAAGCCGGCCCGTTTCAAGTAGCCATCGTGGAGATTCATCGATAAAGCTTTTACAGAACAACAAAAAAGAGCAAACAAAATATTATATAACTGGCTCACGCTTATAGCAAATCTATACCGCCAACTCGTATCGATAGTCCCTAACCATATATTTACTTCAACCTAATAATACGAAGCGCCATTAACATATGGTACTTCCTAGATGACCCACAGAATGCCCAATAAGGCTATCAGCTATCAAGTAAGTGAACTTCGTGTAAGCCATTACCAATAACTGTTTATACATAGGCTAACATTGTCGACAACAGTCTCAAGTTAGTTGAAGGGTAGGGATTGTGGCCTTGCTGTTGATTTGCGTCCATATATATGACCGGCTGACCTAATGGACACCATGTACATTTTCGCTTTGTCTAAGTAAAGTTATAATTAATTAGAGAAAATACGTATAAGCAAAAGAGTAGTTAAGGAGTTGATTTTTTCTGCACGGCGAAAAAAGCTGCACGGCCGACTAGAAGAAGAAGGCGCAACGCACAAGGTCAGACCAAGCAGAAGCACGAATGGGGCTGCAATGACGAGTTGCTGTACTCTCCAGTTCGGGACGAGATACGAAACCACAGGCAGGAGAATCATTCCTACGGTCCATCCTAGACCAGCGGTCAACGTTACCACGTAGCGTTGATTAGCAGAAACAGACTCGACCACTAGAAATCATACAATGAAGCCAACCTTTATACGCTTTGAGAAATGACCCGATCATCGCACAACACCCTAACATGACGAGCTGAGTCTTCAAGTTGAAGCAATATTATTTTGAGAAAACAATTGTTATTATTGGCCGAATGTACGATTTACGGTTGATGTAAGCTTTTCGCTCCTTTGCCGCATCGGCGTTCCTGTAGAGTCTGCCTAATGAAACATAGATGCCGATATGACAAATTAAGTATATATGTATATACGATTGGTTTCCAGCAGAAATGTTTGAAGCGGTACTACTCAGATGGATTGTCTCTGGAAGACGTTTTTTTTTTGAAATTGCAGTGTCTCGTATGACAGTTTTAACATCTTCTATACGGCAGCTGATTTACCACTTGAAAAGATAATTCTACCCTACGTCTAATGTGTCGCCAATATTTAAAAGACGAAACTACTATATATATATATATATATATATATATATATGAGAATAATGCTTTTAGATGTAAATAATGCAGTATAAAATAAACATATATTATAATGCAAAAAACGGATAGCTCCATAAGGGTGTGTATATATACATAATTTATAACCAACCACCTAATACAGCTGGGATCGAATCCTCAGTCCCCGATTGTTTACATCAACTGTGGTAATTCTCGTTCTGACCGCGTCGGACGGCCCGAGTGCTTAGCAGTAGTTTCCTAAACCAGCGTACAAGGTTAGCGTAAATTTGTTGCTGACTGCAATACTATATGTGGCCTTAGCACACTAATTATGGCAAACGCCTTTGCAACATTCACTGTTTCATACCACCTAAACCTTCAGGGCTGCATTAAGCCCTGCTTCCTCATGGACTTAATTCTCACAAGCCTGGAAATAATTGAAAATTTCTGAAGTGCTGTTGAAGCACCATCCATGCCTGAAGTCATGATGGCGAATCCAGTCAGCAACAGTCGAAACAACTATGAAGAAAGTAATTATCCTGAAACAATCTAAGGGTATTAAAAGCGGCCATCATTAAGCCACGATGTTGTTGTAAAGTATTGGAACCCGTTTTTGCTACCGCAGGGGAACGCAGTTTGTAGCGCCTTGAAAGCGGATGTAAAAGCTGTGAAAAAATGTGAAGGTGACAGCTTTATATAAAGCGTGGCTAACATAGTGTACCACAATCTAATGGTAGGCCGAAGTTGACCCTATGTAAATGATTGGTATGTTAGGTTTGGCCAGCACGGATGTTCGGCACTTACTCAAGCGATTAACCTATGCTTAGTGATAATAACTTGAACATCGCATATTTTACTAGCTTGCGTTATTTTGAAAACAGTAAGCGTTTTTAATAGTCGCTGAGTGAACTGCGTGGTCTCACGTTTTTCGGGAGGGGATACGTTTTTCCTTATGTGGCAGAGAACGCTAACAGTTAGCACTACTGATCTGCACGTTAGCAATCGTCTATATATAGCCACAGTTCTTCGTATCAGATCGAATGTGTCCTTTGCTGTCATCACAGCTACGGTAAAATGTCTGACTGAAGAAGCTTACGGTGTCTACGATTTTCACGGTTACTGTAAATTTATGACAATCGCAATGGTGTGCAGTCACAGCGCCTTTAATGACGAATGCAAACGTGATGAGGAGACACGTACCGCCGCTGACCTAGCAAAAGCGTTGCGTTCGTAACGATTACCTCCTCCAGTCAAGCCAGGACCCCGCTGATTTCGCCCAGGGTGCATCGACGGTTAGCGCCAATCCCGCGGAATAATGCGTTCGATACGAGCGCACAACCAAATCCATTCCATTGTTACCCGAGATGGAAATACTACGACGGAGGCCAGAGTGGAGTTGTTAGAACGTTCCGGTTTTCGTGAGACCACCACAAGCTCAGCTGAATTATGGACGGTTACTAGCACCAAAAAGACGACTGAGTATTGGATAGATTCCGATGGTCAGGCGGATGGGCCTGTTGTGATGCACGAGTTCTGTTGAGCTCCAGTGTGGACAGTTCGACCGTGTTCGGAAATCGTCCAAAATCCACCTGAAGATGCGTTTTCGCGATAGCCAGAACTACAAACTGCTAGAGTAAAGAGTTCACATGATAAACTAACTTTGGAGGTAAACCGTAAATGTAGTAACGCCAGCCGTTGTTGGACTTCCTTTGGTAGCACAAAGACGGAGGGGAAATCTTTGAAAAGGAAGCACTGGAAGCGCGTACCCATTACCTCACAGATACTTTCTTCAGGCTGTTAGAGACTTCAGGCTGTCCTGAAATTTGCCGAGAAGGCTGTTTGACTTAACTGAAACTTATGAAGAAACGCTGGCACGAAGCGATCTACTTTGAGCAAGTAATTTCTCTGTCAGCTATTTCACAGGCCAGCGAAACAAATGTACACGCTCGTTTTTCATCATCTCTACGTAAATACCGAACAAAATTGTGGCTAATAAAAATCAATTGTAGTTTTCGATTTTACCTAGCTCGCGTGTCCTTCTGTTGATTATTAGGTTTTCCTATCTCGAAATTTTTATATAAACTAGCTCGCCTACAATGGCCAGTGCGCTTCATACGTCAGGTGAGTCATCTGTGATAATATTTCGTTGATCAGAGACTGCGTTTATCTTTAAATATGATTAGGGGCTTCCATAGGTCACGATGCCCAGGTTCACGACACCGCTCGAGTTCGCGATAGATTCCTAATGCGTTTTCCTAAAAAAGATCCTAATTACGATTTAGCACATGTGAAGCTGGATGGCATTTGTTATTGCACAGATATAGCTGGATAGCATGTGTTCTGATATGTCACGTCTGTTTCGAAGCCACGTTACTGGATTCGTTTATTTCTCCCAGCTGGTCTTTGATAGAGAGATACTGCTCGCGTTCACGTTACATTATATAAGCGTTAAATGAAGAATGTCAACTATGGATTCTTGCTGGATCACTTGAAACTAAACAGAATCCCTAAAATTATCCTGTTAGTGATCACGTCAAGGACAGCCACGAGTGAAGGTCCTTAAAAGACTATATGTCGTCGATAAAAATCGTTCTAAATAAATTGCAGCCGGAAATTTTGCGCGGTAATAAAGCATGTTTAGGTCTGACAGATAAATCGAACTGATTTTAAAGTCTGATAATATTCACAAGTCATTTTGATTAAGCGAAAATTTCGAGCAAATCCGATATTAGTCAAGGGCCCTTCGCCGGCCACCCAATCTTCGGGGCAAGTTTAATAGCAATGAAACAAATGAACAGAGTGCCGATATAGGCGAGTCCACGTTATGCTGCACTTTTCTTCAACCAGAGAATTCGCTGAGATGTTTCACACGTTTTTTTCTTCCTGCAATAGAACCACGCGCGTGCCGCGTTTGGAAAACCTTAGTTCCCACTCTTATTATATATAGTCAGAACGATTTAAATATATCTTTAAATTTTAGCTTGATTTAAATCTGACTTGCTATGCGGCGAAATCAATGGAACTCTGCACCTGACTATTTTTTGCTTTACTTGCACCACTGATCACTCGTAGACGACTCCGTAGAGTTCTACGTAGACGTAGAAAGTGTATCTTGTAAAAGTTTGTCATGTCTGACATATAAGACATAAAACTGTAGTGATGTTGTCTCTTTTTTTCGCAATTCCAAATATCTAGGCGTTATAAAATCGACGATGTTACTTTACTTATGATAATTTCCTTGGTAGATGAGACTCAATGGAAAGGTCGTAACATAGTACAGGTATCAGATTCTATCTTTATCTAACCTGATGCCCATATAACAGTGTAATACTCTCATTATCATAGGCATGACGTAAGTGTGCAACATGACCGAAAAGGACATCTGTTTCGTTCTATTTTACGCTCGCTGTCTATGCTGTAGGCGTTTTCAGTGTAGCTGGCTTTTGCAAACGATGTGTGCCTACGCCCGGATTTGAACCTAGACCGCGTGTCTGTAAGTCTATCTGGTCCAATATGGTATTTCTTACGCTATCACGAAACGGAGAGGAGATCTAAGAGCTGCTGTGGCAGTTGATTCATAGAAATACAAAAGGTGCCTGAGTGATAGCGCAATAGGTAATATATTTGTTCGCTAAACTTAATGACATGCGGTGGGCTACTTTTAAATCTTGGCATATCCACACTTCGTTTCGTGCTGGAAGCCAGCCGTACGAGGTAATACTCAACGACTTAATTCCCGGACGTAAAACACCAAAATTATTTTTTTAGGCAACTCAAACAACGCCACGAGGACGGCGCTAGTCTACATGCCTGAGTAATGAACTAAGTATAAGTTGCCAATGTCTTCCGACGTTTGTCTACGAGTGTTTGCTGGCTAGAAAAATACCTTCATGGGTGCCTGGTGTACGACTGGGTCAATCATGACCAGTCTGTCTAAGATTCATTGGCGACAGGATTGGATAGAAATGCTTTACCCATTGTGATACCCGCCACGTCGCTATTAAACAGTGTATGTGAACGTAGATAATGTTGTCTACCATTAGCCGATACACTAGCCAATGGTCTTGCAGCAAGCTTGCTGTGACGCTTTCTAGAGTTGGACCAACTGGTTGGATCGCCGCGCATAGAAACCGCATTATAGGAATCATTTTCAACGATAGCAAATAGAACTGCCAAGCTTCACTGAGCGGAAGGATTGAAAACCCTTTCAGATGGTCGTGTCTACTGAGGTTTTTTTTAAGTCTTGGTACTGTTATTAAATTGGTGCGCATCAGTATTGCTGCGTGCCACGTTGAACTGATCACTATTATATTGATGCAAACCCTAACTTAGTTAGAACTAACTTATAACGAAGTTAAAGTTAGTTCTAACTCTAACACCTAGTTAGGGTTGGGGCTGTCCGTTTAAATAGAAAGGCGCTTGACATAAAACTAACAACCTGATCTAATATTTGCTTCGTTCTTTCCCATTAGGTATGGATGTTGTAACCGTATTCCTGTTATCATTCCTGCAGCTTCTTTTTAACGTAGCTAGTTCTCTGTTTGGCACTATCCGAGTGAGATTTTAGAGTGGCTCGCTCACAAGAAACCTGGGAGCAGAAAGCGTATGCATCTAGCGGTCCCTTGGGGTGCAATAGTTTTCTATTACGGGAAAATTACTCTTTTCTGCTCGGCTCTACATTTAAGACAGGTGTTCCCATATGAAAACATTCTTCGACGATTCGAGCTTAAGTAACCGTGCTGATAAAACTTTATTTTCAATACTACTATTCGCGAGGCACGCGCACGCCGCACGCTTCCACGAAATCCAAGCACGTAAATATAGAACTCGTTTTCAAGACCCAAATACTACGCTATACGGGCCTTATTATGAGTCCATTAATATTGACAAACTCTCCACAGTGGGTTACTGGCTTAATCTCGGACCGTATTTAAATCAGTATCGTGCAACGATTCGCGCTCGATATATGTATACATAAATATCGATAGATAGACAATAAGTCAGGCTTGACATGAATTTCTTTTGACGCGTAGCTTTTATTCTAGCAAGCGTTGTTTTTGATTTGTAATCCCCCTCCATGCCCACGTGATAGCTTAGCAAGTAACGTATTCACCTGCTGGTCTTAATTTGACGCGCTGGGTAGAACTAGACAAACAACGAGCAACCTAGTTTTGAAAAAATGCATGGACCACTCTTATTTATTTTAGGCGTAATAGGAACATTCAAAGTTGTCAAGCTTCAACGGCTCTACGTGAACCTCTGCAGCGGTCAGCAAGCTGCAGTACACACAGACTATTTCAAAACAAGCGATTATTCTTTATGTAACCGGTACTATTAAAGCAAGACTTAGCGCTGCAATAGATTTGAATAAGAAAAAATGCTAAATCAGCTTCATTTACTTAGGGTACATTTTAGAGAAGGAGATATCTTCTCACGTAATCAGGCGAACGGTTCATAGCTCGTCATCCTCATCAAGAACTTTGATTCAATTCAGTCGGGTTGTCATTTAGCATCCGTAAAATATTAATCTATTCTATAATATTTTTAGCCGGCCAGCAGCGTTTTTGTGTCTTTTTCACTGCGTGCGATTATAGGTTTTTTAAATCACACACTTCACACGCTCGTAGAAGATACAGCTTTAGTCATTCAATATGAATGTGTTGGGCTTATCATATGAGCCTTACCTTCGTAGATCTCTCGAGATATCTGACGGACAGCTTTGAACGTACTGACGACGGTACAACCGAATCTATACGAATGCTATTGAATCATTTGTATGGTTAACTCCAGCGTAAATGTATGAAATAGTACATAACAATGGCTTACTACATGTCTAGTAGACGGTCACTCTGTGATATTTTTCAAAGTATTATCACAGTCCTTTTTTGGTCAAACAAGATGCGTGTATCTGGGAGAAGGCTTTAGGTACAACTATTAAGATATATGAATAGGTTTAATGCTCACGCGCTCAATGGGGTCAGGAACTCGAAGTAGATAAATAAAGTATATAATAAAGTTTCATATAAGATCACATTACAAATTTTGGATTTGCTAAATTCTGGATTTTGGACTCGATCAATTCTGTCTTTCCCTCTTCCGCCCTCCGCCTCAAGTTTTTTGTTACTTACGTTAAAGTTTATTGGTAGACAGCCAATGGATAAGCTGAACCTTTGGAAAAAGCCGATGTCCAACTGTGTAAGTGGTTTGGGATTACCTTGATGACAAGATAAACGGTCAGTCGCTTAAGCTCTACACGGATCTTCTACGACATAGGATGGACGACGATCATTTCAGCGGTAATGGTGACGATCTCTCGTTCGATTTGAATCTGGGGGGAAACCGTCGCTGTTTTCTGATCGACAGCAGCAGTGACAGGTTTAACAAACCGATCTTATATTCCCCTATGGAGACAGCCGTCTTGAAAGCGTCAGTCGGGGCTCGCTCGGTGAGATCCGAAACGATGCACTGGCGGTTACATTGGTAGTAGCTGTTTGTCCACTGACTCAGATTGGGCATTGTTCATATCTATATCAACACCGGCATTGACTCTATTAGTGACACGCCATAAGAACGTCAGAACGGGCTTAGGTGTCAAATCCATCCTGTACGATGTCCGTCAACTGAACCTATCATGGTTAGACAACTAATAAGACATCACATAATCTAAACTTAAAGGGCTGTTCAGGCGTTTTGATATGATGGCATCCAATTGATCGCCAAGGATGGCAATGAGTCCACGCACATATTCTGTTAACCTAGAAAAAAGCGGTACAAACTGATGTAGAAGTTTAGCTCATTTATACAAGCGACCGCTCAATCCGGTGTAGCATCTTAGAGTACAAGCTGCAAGTGATTACAAGTTCCTCAAAAGAAAAAAAATAGTTTAAAAAAAATGACTCATTCGAGATGGGGTAAAAAGTTGCTACTATACCAACATAGGGCCGTAATGACAATGCGATTATCAGTAATTAGTTTATTTCATTTCAATAGGGAATAAGTAGAAGTATTATGGCTCGGTTATGGGCAAGCATCGTGCGTCTGCTGCCTTGCAAGACTAGTTTTTAACTTAGCTTCGTGCAACTTATTTAATAAAACTTCACATCCGGTTAGTAATTTGATTTTGAAGTTTAAATTAGCAATTAACTAATTTAGGTGTGATTTGAATAGACATTGCACACTTACTTTCAGTTGTTTCATTTTTGTAGGAAATAATAAGCTGTGGCAGCTGACCCAGGGTCAAGTTCAGGATATTGAAAATCTAATTTTATAAATAACTTAAGTCTGAAGAGAACACGTACAATTCCGAACTGCTGTAAAAACTACTTTTCAATATGATACGCCAATACATCATTCTCATCAAGCTAACTCTCAGAAATAATATAATTGACAACATGACAAGTTTTTCAGTTATTTATTCTAAAGTATAAATATAGATATTCAATAATTCTCCATCATGATTACAATTACGCCATTGATGTAGCCGAAAATAGTAACGATATATTTATACATTTTAAGCACAGGGGGAACTAAGCAGCTAAGTAGGCAGTATAATATTTTCGTCTAGCAAAATTCCGTATAATATTTCCACAATTGCTTTTCAAATTTACTTTTAGCAGCTGTTGAGGATTTAATTAATTGTCTATTTTTTCTATTCTCTAAGTAAGTATCGTAAGGTAAGTATCGTTTGTCAAGTTCTGCATGTTTAACAACTTACATAGAATTGTTGCTGCATCGTAGTAACCACTCGAGCTGACAGCGGAAAAAAAACGCAAAATATTATAGACGGCCATTGAGGGTGAGCACGCAAGAAGGACGCCCATCAATAGGCTACAGACGAGTGAGATCACGCAGGCCCTTTTGCGCCCGTACCTGAATCGAATCGTCACTTTGCAGTGTGGTATAATGCAACATAGTCTTTTTTCGATACGATTCATAAAGCAGTGAAACATAGAGCCACAGGTCACACTGACTGAATAGGTAGGTGCACGTCCTACTTTCGAGCAGCTTTATGGTGCTACTGATGTTTGAAATTTATAGTTATCGGCCCAAATACAAATAGTTATTAAACTTTTCATCTATGCAACCTGTCAACAGTTCTGAAAAAAATCACTTACTCATTTTCATCAAAAGATCAATGACAGTTAAGATCAACTTAGTAATCATTCCTAACTTACCAGTCGGCCACATGAGAGAATATGGTCGTGCTAAAAATAAGTCCAAACATATACAAGCTCTGAGATAAAGAGGCTATCCATCTCCGGCCGCATACGAGATCCCACTGCAAGCAAATCAGGTGAAACACTCAACAATATGTGCAGTAGAGATATTGAATTGCCGCCGATACTATAGCTACATACACAAACAGAATGGGAAAAAAATATCTTTGCAACTTAAAAGTCGTTATTATAGTAGCAGAAGAATAAAATATCGTAAACAAGTTAAGTGTACAAAAAGAAAAAATAAACTTTTCTCTGGTTATTAAGACATCCAGCTCAGCCAACATCTACACATCAGTGCTGTTTACGTACGAAAGCGGCTACCTGTCCGCAAAGATTGCTAGACTCGTTATAAAATGCCGAATGCTGACTTACAATTAGGACCTAACATTTACAGTACAAAACTGGTGTGGTATAAAAAAAGTTGTTCCATTTGTCAATGTTTAGAGTTTTAAGCCCGGTATTGCCGTTAGACGTTGCTCAATACGGTTAACTAGCAGCACGGAATAGTATGTCTACGTTCAGCTCCAAGCCTGGACCCCCGTGTATTCTTAAACTGATTATAACTAGCGCTATGTCTTGAGTTTGATACCCGGTATCGCCGTCAAGCTTTCGTTAGACGGCTGGCTCCTAACACTAGACGAAATCTACCTATGCCCAACCCGTAGCAGATTTTAAATAGCCAGCTTAGGCAATGAAATTTAACTATGCAGTAACTAAATCCTGGCGGGCAATGTGGACAATTATGTTGTTAAAGATAAACGTTCTTTGTTGCGATCCGTCTACTGATAATGACCTTCTTTCACTAGATGACAAAAACGATCGAGCTACGTTTTTGGCGGAAATTGGCTTTATATTTGGATCTGTTTGAAGTACAGATTATCGAATACGTACCTCATCTACCAGCGTGGTCCCCTTGTATACAGAATGGTCAAATGACCAAGCGGTGCAAATAACCATATCGCTACGCTCTGTCATACTGCTGTTGTCTGTCGTCGAGATATTATGATCATGCGTATCTATGACGGAGTCTACTTTCCGCACCGTACACTGGTCTTCGTTTGCCATCCAACCGGGCAGCGTATTACAACGAAAGTTTTGCTCTGCCGGAGCTGCGAACACTACCGCCATAAGCATCATCGCCGACGGAAGCCCTCGAATGACAGCAAACGTAATTAGCTAGATATGCAAGCAACAAAAAAAATTACGTAAGTCAAGCAGATTTTCTATTTACTTAATTAGCCGTGTGAATCTTTATGTCTTAACGCTGCCGCTTCATTTTCAAACACGTCGTGTATATATATGTGTATATATAAAGTTTAATTAGTTCATTTTACATATAAACAAACGTCTTGTATCGATCTTAACAGGCTTTTTCAAAATAGTACGAACTAAGTGCCTGACCGTTTATTAAAGCTGATAATTTAGATCTTTGCTTACTATCGTGGGGCCATGAATCATAAAAGCTTCGAAACTCGGTGATCTGGGCCACTGCCTAAAACTACTGGTGAACTACTTGGAACAGACGCACTAACGTATCTGGAAACGGCACGTCCCCGAAGATCGCTGAGTGTCTCTAAAACGTACAGCCTCGTTGGGAAAAGGTACTTACAGTAACAGATCATCAGCTAGAATTGAATTAAAGGTTAAACCCCATCAAAACCTAAACCTAGAAAAGAGAGACACTTTTCCTAAGTCATTTTTAGCGGTTCTGGTTAAATCATCAGACATTTCGAAAGGCATGCCCAGATGTATAATAACGTTTTATAAACAGGCGGAGTGCACGCTCGTCTCTATAGACATCGATTTTTCTATTTTGTCCTAACCTTTGAATCCTTGAAGTAACCTTTGAATCAACGCAAAGATATGAATTGTTATTGGCTTCTTTTCTTGTCAACGGCTGCCATACATTTGATAAGCGAGTCTGACCGTGATACTTATCATGGTATCAGCACGTGGATGACGTCCAACTGTCGTGCTGATAGACGCGTGCTGCATGAAGCGTGCTCTGTCTGTTCAGCGAGTCTTTAGAGGGACTCCCTGATTACGCTCAGAAGGCTCATATAAACGTCCCAGATAGAAATTAATAAAGTATAGTTTAGGAATTTACTTCTTGAAGAATATTCAGCTTTTTCATATCGTTACCAAGCTAAAATAAAGTTGATCTAGCATTGAATTATAGATTTTCATTATTATCAATAAATGAGTTGGTCTTTTTATGAAGGTGTTTCCCTTTTTATTTATACTCAGACATCAACTTATGAGACCACCTCACTTAGTTTTATTTATTCGCTTAGAGAAAAAAGACTAGTTTGCCGGTCAAATACCCTGGGAATTAGCAACACGTTCCTGTAACATAAATTATTGATATGTGTCGCATCATTAAGAGAACGAAATGACCATGAAGCCCTGATCGAGAATAAAATGAGACAAGAAACTGAAAATTGATTCGTCCTTATGCCACTTTATGTCAAATGAACTTCAAATCGCTAGATCGCTACTAAAATAGTAATAAAAAAAAATACGACATAACATATTGTTATGCCCTAACTTTAAGGGCATGAAACAGGTGTTTACAATTTCAGCTAACTCTATCACTATCCGATCCTCTTAAATACAGCTAACCTATGGCAGTCATTGGGATTCTTATTTATGAACAACTTTATTCTTAGATAGTTCGAACTAGTGATGCACTTTATCCGTAAGTTTAACGGGCCAAATGCCGTTAAAAGGTCACCTTTGCGCTGTTTGTACTGACAGATCTATTCTTCAAATAGTCTGTAAAACAAAATACAATTGTCCTATTGTGGTACAGCTCCTACAAACGTCTACCATTGAATACAGTTTCCTTGAAAGCGTTACTTGGTACTTATTTTTTTACCTAGTGTTTTTGCTTTGGTACTCTAATATCTTGCAGTTACAATAGGCTCCCATGCATCATGGCAGAATTAACCATCTAGCACGCCCTCATAATCGATGCTGCTTTATTTCTGTTAATAAAAAGTTTAAAGAAAGTCAAATTGTCCACTTGCTATCCAACTACAATTAACACCTATTTCTTGACCAGCATTATTATATAAGTTGTATGTATTTGACCCATTATACAACTGACCGGAATGTGCCATGTCGAGAATACTCCGAACAGCGTGTCCAGGCTCAGGCCATCGTTTCCTTTTACTTCATCCTTCCGACAACTTTTTTCAGCGGTTTTATCCATACCGTCACCAACAGATCAAGTTTCACCGCTACCTCACCGTACGCACACCGTAAGCCACCAAGTCACTCAAAATGTTTTCAAAAAAATACAGAGAACAACACACGCTGCTCAGAGCCGTCGAACGAGCCGTTTTTGTTAAACCTTAAATTCTCACCGCGAGTAATAGCAGTAAGAAGAAACACAGGTCGACGTAGTCCTATCCATCTTACAAATTGCATTAGTTTTTGAGAAGGCCACGCGGGGGCAAGGATTACTATAAAGAAGACATATAGAGTGCAGTAACACTAATGGCAAACCAACAATTGCTGCTTCTAGCTCTGTTTGATCGAGCTATTCATGTTATCGAAGCGGCCCCCATTCGATTGCTCACGCCAGCGAGTACTCCAGAACGCTTGAACTCTGTTCTTTCTTAGCCATCTTCCGTAATCGATTACGTGCTCTCTCTTCCAGTTTTAGCACTCTCATCAAAAGTATTCGGGCAGAAAATTAGCACGTGTCTTTCACTAAATTTCGGTATAATGCCCTTAGAAACGTAGTTCGAAAGGTAGTCAAACACGATAGAGCTATGGACAAGCTCGCCAGGGATGCGAGGGGGAACGCAGCGTCCTTTACTTGTACATAGAAATTGGGTATGGCAGAGGATACTTAACATAAGCACATAAATTAAATCGTTTCATTTCGTCCCTACGGTATCTATAGTAATGAAACAAATCCGTGACGAAAATTGATGGTTGCAGTACTTCGTTTCCGCTCCTTTTGTCTGGTAGGCTAATTGATAGAGTCCTCAAAAACCTTCAACCTCAAAAATTTCATTCTTCTCAGACATACGTAGGTCTATTTTGTAGAGAGTTTTTACTTTTCGCCGTACACCCCCGTTGAATAGGCATAGTGGACCGTTAAAAGTGGCGCCATTACTTGTACTCGTTTAACGCCAATATGGCAGCAAAGCATCTAGATGCCGATAGAGTTCATAAATGGGAAATGAAAACTGTAGCCTATTTAATTAAATCGTTTACCCTCGACGACTTCGAATAGTGACAGGCCATTGACGAGCCAACACTGCTAGTACCCTGCAGAATTCAAGCTTTACTACGTATGATAGTTATATTATTTGTTGTATCTTAATATTGTTTCACCTCATTTTGTCATTATAGGCAATTATAGTAGGATTTTTAGAGAAAGAAACTGATGCTTCTCCATAATTGTTAGTCAAATAGAAACGCTAGCCCTGGTCCTGTGCCATGCTCGCTGGAGCGGTGATTGGCCTTTAGAAACTCTTAGATACCTATAAGCATGAAAGATCATTCTATTAGTTCTTTGTCAAAGTAAGTAAAGCACCTGGAGGACATATTAAAGATACTTAAAATATTCTAGTGTTTTTATATGTCCTGCTAAGCTTCAACTCTTTGTTTCTGGTAGATGAAATGGGCAAATCTTAATTCAGATTAAATCATCAGTCAAGCTTTTGATGCTGAACATTTGTTTACCGTTTACGTCCTTCCAAGATCAGAGTTCGATGTTATACCCAAAGGCTAATTTACGTGTAGGGTACATGTAAATAGGAGAGCATCGGTCCTAACAAGACTTATCATTCAATAGTACCAATAAAATCACAACAGCTCTGATTATTATTATTATTGTGTGTTGCTTTGAGGATATAATCACGGTAGGGGTGCATGGCACGTCGCGTAGGCCTTCTACGATACAGCTAGAGGGCTTAACGTTATCTACCGAAATCGCACGCAATGGCCTGCCCATTCATACGTCCCTATATATTCTAGTAGGGTCCAAACATCAAAAGAGCATGTATTGCAAGAGTGTACTATTATGTATTGATGTGCAGTGCCACTGGAACTCGGACGCGAGGTCTTGACATCACTATTACGTAAGTAGCAAAGTGTGTGCAGTCGACGTCACGAAGTATACGTCGTCATCTACAATGTTCACTAGAGATAGATCGCACAACGTTTATCGTCACCCTTTCCGTACACCGGCAGATCCTAACATTAAAAACAGAAGCCCATGAAACTGGGATCTCATTTCGTTGAAGCAGCACGTCCGAGCATCAGGTCAACTAGTGATCTAGCTTGACCGATGACTTGGCAGGTTCTTGTGCCAAGTTATTCTAATGCATTAGTAGGACCTACACGCCGATCTAGTGAAAGCCGATAGCCGGTCTTTGGTATAGCGTGGTATAGGTTAGTACATGTATGTATTTTTCGTTCATAGCATCGATTGTTGTTTCAGTCAGTACGTTTTTGTCGTATTTTGCTGGTTGAATAGATTCTAGTTTGTTTGTCTGGATTAGCTGGGTGTCTAGCTCGTTTATGAAATTCTGACTATGCCCTTAAATAGATCTAGATGATTATTCAAACTCTGTCGTCGAATTTACCCCGTAGGCTATACTTGCATCCTAGGATTACTAACCTTAGATCTAATGTGCCAATAACCTGTTTGATTTCAGGACAACAAACACTCGAGGAAATTCGCTATTACGGCGTACAGCGCGCAAAAAGCCTTGGGAGCGTTGAGCGAAGGGGTGGGTTAAAGTTGGCGATTTATCTCGAATGTACGCAGTGAATGCAGCAGTAAAGTAATACATGAAGCTGCCTAACTTGGTGAAGTTTTAACCTAGCATCGATAAAAGAACAAGTTACATGGTTAGCGTTGTCGACGATAAGACAGTTCCATCGTATAGCCAACAAAGCAGTACTGAACCGCACAGAAAATCACGGCCGAGTGTCAACTGTAACGTGTTTCTTTCGCTAGTATCTTGCTCTATTGTGGTCGTTTTGAAGCTGCATTGACAAAACCGGCGAAGGTAAGCCAAAAAAAAAGCTTACCAAAGCAACTCGTACAAGTAAGCATAACCTCGACACTAAGCACCCTCGTGCGTGTCGATTTCATCATTCAACAGCACGTCCGACGCTTAGTGCACGCAAACAGACAACAAAGGATAACAGCGCCAAAAATAGCTCTAGTTCCTGATAGAGAGCACCAGCGGTCGTTGGAAGCCTCTCTGGCCTCGCTGTCGAATGAGGAAAAACCCGAAAGAGCATTGCCCTTGTGAACACAAGTCTGCGCGAACGCAGGTAAAGTTATAAATATTATGGCTGCGTCAAAGACCTACTAGTGAAGCTGAGCCTCAATCGTTAAACAGTATGGTATAGCGGCTTTAACATTAAAACCCTATGAAGATGATGGTCAAAAGTGTTTCTTTGCCAGCTAAACCTATTTGAATATTAGACTACCATTCCCGTGAGTGTGCCTGAATTGTCTATGTATTTAATATTTCGCAATTCGTGCTAAGTTTCAACTTAATGTTATTGGAATGGAGGACATTCATACAAAAGAGTCTATGAGGAACTTGAAGATGTCAACTTCTTTTAACCGTCACCGCGAAATGCCACAGTCTTTTTGCAGCTAGCCAGAATCGCTCAGCGTAGTAATTATACATTATTTCAAAATTACGCTTGATGAACACGGAGATCAACGAGAGTGTGCCGATAAAAGATGTATCAAAGTAAAGCAAGTATCTAAAGTCGAGAGGATAAGGAGCCTCCTCTATACGCATATATATTTGATCGCAGTTTTTACCGGAAGTACCACTTAGAGCGTGACGCTCTAGTCAGTAATTAGTGAAAGTGTATTTAATGCGAAACAGAGATGACTTCCGTTAAAAACATGCAATACAAGCTGAAGTTACACAATGAAGCAGTGCAGAAGCGCTGACCAGCAAATCCAATTCGGTTTTAACTTAAAGACGCATTAGCTGATCGAACGAAAACATCGAAACAGCGACTGCTTTCAGTAATACTAATACTCACTCATTTTTCCGGCTCGATCGAAGATTTATCTCTGACAAAGAACGACCGAGGGTGCAATTTGAACGGGACCGCTGTAGATGACATAATGAAAGACAATATTCATTTAAAAACTCACTTTCGTATCTGCACTAAGTTAGCAAACATTTTACAAAATGTACAATTTAACTTACTTTACTTATCTATATTTCAAAGCAAACATTTTACAAAATGTACAATTTAACTTACTTTACTTATCTATATTTCAAAACAAACATTTTACAAAATGTACAATTTAACTTACTTATCTATATTTCAAAACAAACATTTTACAAAATGTACAATTTAACTTACTTTACTTATCTATATTTCAAAACAAACATTTTACAAAATGTACAATTTAACTTACTTTACTTATCTATATTTCAAAACAAACATTTTACAAAATGTACAATTTAACTTACTTATCTATATTTCAAAACAAACATTTTACAAAATGTACAATTTAACTTACTTATCTATATTTAAAAACAAATATTTTACAAAATGTACAATTTAACTTACTTATCTATATTTAAAAACAAATATTTTACAAAATGTACAATTTAACTTACTTATCTATATTTCAAAGCAAACTTTTTACAAAATGTAAAATATATCTAATAATACATTGAATAAAATATGCTACGATTAAGCATGTTTAACTTATAAATGCTGCCATTGTGTTTTCGTTGTTATGGTTAAAGGTACCGATTCCACAACTAAGAGGTTTTACTTTAAGTAAAATACTGGAAGTGGAACATTATTAAGTTTGTAGTTTATAACTTTATTCTGGAAGTGCATTGTTCAAACAAAACGTACGAGGCAACTCAAAGTTCTAAGTAGCTGTGTAGGAAGCTAGTTGTTATATGCATTGATAAGTATTTGTGTTGCCTTAATTTAAGCGTAAAGAAAACGAATCAATCAAGCTATAGCTATTATGATTTTCTAATTCATAGATTAATCCACCGTCTCCTCGGTGCGGTTCGTGTGATAGCAACATTGAACGATACTTCTACTCTAATCTCATGAACCTGATTTACG